CCGACTGTAATCTTAGGAAAAAAGCCTGTTCGCGGTTCCATGTTACTTTGGGAGGAGGACAATGTGCAGGGTGTGTATAGGCTAAGCACAGTCAGGTCGCTAATGTTGCAGAGTTCAAAATTCCCCGACAAGAAGGTCACTCCTCAGAGTGCGGCTATATATACTCCCGCAAAATGCATGACATTACGTATCATGGCAAGCCGATTCTTGAAGTTGTGCCATATGGAGGTCTATGGTTTCAAGCTATCTTTTCATCTCAAACTAAAACAAAAAACTGGCATCTGTGGCTGGCTGCCAGAGTGCGCACTCGCGAGACTCTGCAAAGTCCAAACCCTAAAGCTAAAACCCTACATTATATGGTAGTTTCCCAAAATAAGGGGACCCCAATATAGACCCCAATATACTATAGTCCTTATTATTGGGACCCCTAATTTTGGGAAACCCCCATATTCCTTGTTCCCTACCAAGTCCCAGTCACTGTGCGCCCTAAACCCTAAACCCTAAACCTTAGTGGGGATCGTTCTGAGGGCCCATAACACCAGCTCAAAGAGCCCCAAAAAATGGATTACCTCCTGCCAAGCAAACTTGCAAGCAGCCGTACCTGGGCCTAGCAAGGACCTGCTTTGGGGTGTAGGGTTTAGGGGTTTAGGGTTTAGGGTTTGGGCCTTAGGGTGTAGGGCAAGGAGCCCAAAACAACTCTTGCGAGGATTTGTTCTGAAGTAAGGGTTAGGTGAGGTCAACAGTATCGCTGGCTGTACATATTTCTAACCCAGAGACAGGGCCATTCTGTGGCCATGTTGAATATCGAAACTGCTATTTGGGAGGGGGGGGCACCAAAAAGGTGTCAACACTTTTGACACCCGCCAGCTTTTTCCCCGGGCTGCTGCTGGGGAACTTGAATTTAAATACTACAGTATAATCAGGAAATCCTGTCATTTTCCATATACCCATCTTATGGGAACTTGACTTAAATTCCTTCAACAGCAACCCAGTAATCCCCTATACGATCCCAGATTGCATGTCGTGTTCCATTGTCTTGTCCATTAGATTCTGCAGCAATGCTAAATGTTTAAGCCCCTGCACCCCATCCCCCAAACCCTACAGCCGCCCTAAACCCTATTCCCTGAACTCTAAACTAGACTGTATTGAAACCACAGGGGGGGGCCGACCATTTGGAAGGGGTTGGGCTTCCCTAAGCCCTACACCCTTGGTCGGTAGCAATCACTCGTAGCATTTGTTCAGGACAAACGAATCAGCAAACCATTTGAGCTGTAGTCTAAACTCCTAGTATCCCCCTTAATGAGCCCTACAATACTCCCCATATAACCTACTATATAAACCCCCCTGTAAGGAGATTAGACTATATACTCAAAAAAGAGGGATTTAGGGTTTAGGGTTTAGGGGGATGTAATCGTCCACTACATTGGGAAAATCCCTACGCCCTACACACTAAGCCCTAAACCTTAACTATACTACTACCCAACTGTCTCCCACGACATGCAAAACTAGTACGCGCAAATACTTGTACTTTCCGACAGAAAAAAAAAGGGGAGCCCAATATCGACCTCAAGATACTATAGGCCCTGGGGTCCCCAGAAAAAGAATGCTGGGAGACCCCCCCATTTCGACATTTGTATCATCTCAAGGTTCCAACACCTTGCGCAATGTAAATCCCAACCCTGAAGTAACAGTTTCGGGTTCAGGGTATAAGGTTCAGGGTTTAAGGTTTAGGGCTTTAAAGCCCTAATCCATGACCCCAAACCCACGCCTTAGACCCTAAATCCTAAACTCACAATCGTAAACCCCAGCACCAAGCCATGTATATCCTACACCGGCAACCCTAGAGCCTGACACCAAACCCTGCGATATCAGCCCTCAATCCTAGGCTCTCAACCACGCAGTTTCGGGTTTAGTGTTTAGGGCTTAGGATTTAGAGGGGCTTGGGCCCTAAGCCCTAGACCAAACCCTAATCCCTTAGGGTTCAGGGTCCGGAGCCCCACCGGGAAGCCCTTCTTGTTGGTCAGGAAGACGTCGGCAGGGACAATCACCGACCGGACTGCAACAGCCAATGCTTTGATGACGGGCATGTTCAGAATTTGAGGTTTGGAGCTGTATGGGTTAAGGGCTTTTCTTCAGGAGTGGGGGTTTAGAGGGTTTAGTATTTCTCGCTAGTTTCCCCCTATATTTGGGTTACTTAAGGATCATTGAAGCCAATTGAGGGTCCAACCCTGTAACCCTGTAACCCTAAACCCCCAAACAACAGGAATCTGCGCAACTCGTTTTGCCAGGCTCTCTCGCTCTCAGGTTGATGCTGCCTTCTGCAGAGCTTTGGCCTGAGACCTAGGGTTTAGGGATGTTTAGGGCTTAGGGTTTATCAGTGCACCAGCATCTCAGATCTCAGTCTCCAGAAATCAGAAATGCTGCGTGCTACTGGCTGCAATTATTGAGCAAAGGGAAACGAGGTTGCACCCCAAAACTCTAGGGCTTTGCTATCTGGATTCTACCATGATGACAATCTAAGGCAAATCATGCTTTGTTGCGCAGAAAGTTTTAGTCCCCGCTGATTTTCATGCCAATGAGTTTCATAAGGTTTGTGTTGGAGAATTCCAGCTTTGAAAAAACTCAAAAGTAGGTGTGTGCTTTTGTGCTTTTCGTTGTGCTCACTGTTATACGACCCCTACAGCCCCCAAAGCATACGTAGAGTTATATACGCAGCTGGATGCGGGGAGGCATAAAACATGATGACCTCCCCCTGGTAGTGAATAAAGGCCGCCACCACCACGCCCTTAACATCAAGTATTCCAGTTGTTGTATAAACATAGTAGGAGTATTTTAAAATGAGGGGCTTTGCATGTGGTTTGGGGGTGAGTAGATACCACAATCTTGAGCCACAAGCCGCAAAACCCTAAACCTACTTCCTCATTGGAACCCATCAAAATCTGAGTTTTTGCAACCATAACCCACTGATTCCTTCTTGATGCTATCTACATTATGGCTTCCTTACAAAACATGTGGTTCAGGTTTCTGGCTGCTTAGGAAACACAACCTACTTTGAACTTAAGTCATTCCCCCCATATTACAGTAACATTCCCCACGAAGATGGGGCATAACGACCGCTTAGTAATGCCCTTTAAGGACAGTTAAGAGGGGGAATGACCAAACTTCCAACAGTAACTCAATAGACGAAATCCCTAAACCCTCGACGCAGCTATCAATTCTCAGACCCCTACACTGTCTCTACACTGTCTCTAGAGTTTGGGTCCTGTATCCTGGCTCAGGGTCCAGGGCGCGGGTGGTTACGTACCTACTATGCCCATGATATACTTACCATCAAAGACCCTACAAACCAAAATAAGCTATAGCCTTAATTCCTAGTATTCCCCCTTAAAACCCAAACGCAAATCACCCACATAGTCCCCTATAACACCCCTTTGAGGAGTTGAGATTCTGACCCTAAACCCTAAACCCTAAACCCTAAACCCTAGCTCAAAGAAGGACCCCATGGTCAGGACCTTGGATACACATTGCACCTTGAGCCCCACATGTTGGGTTTTAGGGTTTAGAGCTGAAGGCTTTAGGGTTTTAGAGTTTAGGGTCCAGGGTTCAGGGCTTCGGGTTTCAGGCTTCAGGGTTGTTAATTTCAGCGTTTGGGGGTTTTGGGATCAAGGGCTGAGTTCGTAAACCTCCCGAACATCATTCGTAATAGCATTAAACGCGGTATAAACGTTGTTAGTATGCAGGCGAGCGAAGGTGAACCCTGAATCCTAAAGACGAAATCCTCAACACTGAATTCTGAATCCCAAGCGAAATGAAGCCCTAAAGTCTAAACCTTGAACCCTCAGCCCCAAATCCGGACCGCTAATTTTTGAAATCGTGAACCCTAGGCCCTTAACCCCAAACCCTTGACCCTAAACGCTAATCCCTAAACCCTAAGTCCTAAACCCTAAACCCTAAATCCTAAACCCAAAGCCCCAAATCCGAAACCCGAAGCAAACCAAGCCTGGCTCAGCAAGCCATCGCATTAGCTCCTGCCGGTTTCAGGGGTTTAGGGCTTAGCGATTAGGGCGCTAAACCCCTAAACTAAACAACCCTAAGCGGTTAAGGGTTTAGGGTTTGGGATTTTATTTGCGGTCTATTTGAGTTACCCTATACCATGGTTATACAGGATTCTAGAACCAGGACATTGGAATATTGGTATAGTGCTTCTTCAGATCACTATATTATACACCGAGTATACATGGTGGATGGGTTCGTGTAAGGCCTAAGAGAAGAAATCCCCTCAAAAGGTATACCAAGGATACTCACAACCATGCATATTTACACCAGCGTAGTAGGGCAAGTTTCGATATCAACGGTCTACCCTCCCACAGACTAGCACTGGACCTCGGATAAAGCCACTCGCTTTAAACAGGGTGTCATATTCTGAGCTTCCATGCTGGTTTGGGAAAATGTAAGATGCGCATCTGCGCGGAATACTCATGCAGGGAGCATTTCTCTTTTGGTCCGTCCTTGTTCGAAGACTTAGGCCCCCCTGGAAGCAGGAACATTGAGCCTTAGCTGAAGGGCCAATTATAATCCCCCCTTAGGTAGAATATGGTTGTGGGTATATTATAACAAGATCCCCATATACCCCATATTCTATCTATTTGAGGGGGACTATAACCCTAAACCCCAAAAACCCTAAGATGTAGTTTCCATTTTCTTTTCCATTATCCCTACATAACCCCTGCAAGATGTACAGGTCATCTTGACTGCTCTTTCGTGATGGGACATGACATCGCAGCCGACTGAGATCAAAACAGGGGCGTTCTGTGTGTCTCCTGTACTTGCTACGTTCTTCCTAGCCATTCGGACGACACCCAGTTTCCTTCGATCCTTTCATCTTGGGCAATCTACCTGCGACGCCTCAACGGCTCGCATGGTAGCGGAGCCTACGGGCTCGTGAGAAGATCCAGGGCAAGACAAGGCAGCAAGACGGTGACCCTCTTGCTGAATCGAGCATGAGCGAAGCTGGTAGTTTGCCAGGAAAGAATAAGGACAGCCCGCCTACCTGGAGTGGAGCTGCTGAAACCTTTCAGGCGTATGAAGAGTCAGCGAGACTCTTTGAGCAAACCACCCCGTACAACAAGCGTTACTTGTGCGGGCCGAAATTGCAAGCAGCGCTAGAAGGAGCAGCACTTCGCCTGGTGGTAGGCAAGCGCGCGGACTGGCTATCCGACAATGGGGGTGTAGAGAGACTGTTGAGCCATCTCCGGCAGAGCCTGGGAAAGCCTCAGATGCCCGAACTGACTGACCTGTTGGGGAGGTACTTCCGAGCTACAAGGAGGCGAGCTGGAGAAACCATGAACAGCTACATTACCCGGAAGACGGAGGTCTATGTCCGCTGCCAACAAGCCCTTCATCGGGTCAAACCTCATCATAGCCGTGAGTCAAAGCCAAGCTGGACTGGGGGAGGCCATGAAGCCTACTCCGACGCCTGGTACCCCCGAGATCGTCGCAACAGTGGTGATGCGTGGTTCTTTTATTCTGGAGGCCAAACTGGAACCAGAGGAAATGATCAAGGAGGCGAGGAGGCCACAGAGCCGGGAACCGCCCCTGCGACAGCCTCGGCCTCAGAGACCAACCGAGATAACCCTGAAGCAACTGAACGCAGCTGGAATGGCAACTGGACTGCAGGATGGGCGAGCCATCAGTGGCAACAGGGAGCTTGGTCCTGGGGATATGGTTCCTCGTGGCAATGGAGCCCATGGTCGCAGGAAGGGTGGAATTACCCTTCAGCGGCCCACTACGAGGGCTATCCAGAAGTGGTTCCTGAGTTCATTCAAGCGTGGATGTTGTTGACAGATGCCAATCTGGAGAGTCAGGAAAGGAACTTGATTCTGACAGCCTTGCAGGGAGACCTCACCATTCCTCGAGTCTCTCAGGAACTGAGAAACCACTTCCCTGAGAACGAGACCCAGAAGCGCGACACCCAGCGACGGCATCAGGGATTTCTTGGTGAAGCAGACGATCCTTCAGGAGATGATGAGGCGGCCCCGGACAATGTGTTTCAAGCTGAGGAAGAGCTGACCGAGGAAGGCTATGCAGCATGGTCCGCTGCGGAAGAAGAGTGCCATCAAGCATTGGCAGCAGTGGAGCATGCCAGGCGGACCTTGAAGGTGGCTCGCGAGAAACAAAAGATGGTCAAGTTGAATCGTCAGTATTGCAGGAGTAGCCAGAACTCCCGAAGCTCAGACATCAAGCGGGATGATAAGATCACCTGCCTTCGATGCGGACAAGTGGGGCACAGGGCGGCCAACTGCCCAGCGCCGCATCCCAAGGAAGGAAGATCTACTGAGATGGCGCCCTTCGTCTGCTATGTGGACCTTTCGCCCGAGCTGGCACATCAGACAGGGGAAGCCCAGTTCAACTCCGGACCTGAGACAGGCCTGGCTACGACGACCGAGGATGGCGAGCTCATCAACTGGACATCTCAGGAGCTGGCTTTGCAGACCGGTGAAGCCTCCATGAACACCCCCACAACGGCTGAGGCAGTCAATGCTGGAAAGGCCATCATCGACTGCGGGGCTACAAAGTCCCTTGGCTCGGTGTACGCGCTTGAAAAGGTGATGCAGTTGAGTGCCAATGGCGTGAGTCAAGTGGATGTTCATGAGAGACCTGTCTTCGGGTTTGGGAACTCATCTGAAGACAAATGCGTCAGCACTGTTCATTTGAACCTGTTGGCCGGAGGCCGACCAGGTCACATCAAGGTTCATGCCCTTGATAAGGGTTCAGCTCCAATTTTGTTTTCTGTGTCCTCCCTAAAGGCACTCGGTGCCATAGTAGACTTTGGTGAAGGAACCATGGTCATGCGGAAGGTGGATGATCAGAAATTGGTTCAACTTGAGCAATCTCGTGCTGGACATCTCCTCCTTCCATTAACAGGAGACATCTTAGGTCAGGCGGTGACAACCCAAGCTCCAGCGCCTTGCCTCAGCAGTTTTGCACAGCAGTCGGCAGCCAAGCAAGTCCCGGTGACGCCTTCGGACGAGTAGGGACAACTCCTTCCTTCTTTGATGCCTGATAAAAGGAGGGAGGGCAGTGTTTCAATTTCAGGTGTTGGGAGCAACGCAACTGAAATCAGTTGTGAGCAAGCTAATGGTGAATTTCCGGCCAGGAAGGACATGCATGTTATTGATGGTGTTGATGGTAGGTCTGTTGTTAGTAGTTCTAAGGCATACCCCAAAGCAGTAGATGATACCAGTTATAACCCTAATCCTGCAGCCTATCTCAGTGCCAAGCAATCCTTTTGCAATCGTGCGCACCCCCAATTTCCAAGTCAGCTACATGTCGGACTTGACTCGCGAACAACTTCGAGCAGCTCTGAGAGCCACAGGAGAGGAGCCTCCAGCAAGCTGGACGAAAGCAGAACTCCGTCTCAGGTTGCAAGAGATCACCGGGGCCGTCCTCGGACAGACAATCAAGAAGCTCAATCAGGGCCCACCCTCCGAATACCAGACCTGGCTTCGTCAGTTGAACCAGGCCAAGGTTCGCAAGGCCCTGTTGCAGAAGTTCGTGGGGGAGAAGCTCAAGTTGAGCAACGTGGACAACATGACCATCCCGCAACTCGAGCTGGCAGGGCTGAGGAAGATCTACGAGATTTCCAAGCCGCATCCGACAGACCCTATGGGCTTCGGGAAGTACAGCTACAAGAGCTACGAACAGGTCATGGCGGAGGACTCGGGATACTGCGAGTGGGCAAAGAAGACGGTCTCAGAGGGACCGGATCGGTGCGACCCGAAGCTGTCCCGCTTCACGCGCTGGCTCGAGATGGTGGGTCAGGAAGAGCTGATCCCAGAGAAGAACCTGTTTGCCAAGTTCAAGGGACCGTCGAAGTCCACCAATAAGGAGGCGAGCAGCTCTCAAGCCAGTGCCTCGTCAAGCCAGCCGAGCTCCATCGAGGCCAAGATGGAGACCATGATCAATATGATGACCGAGTTGCAGGGCGAAGTGGAGAAGATCAAGGAAGACCACAAGCCCCGCAAGAAGGGTCCCAGTGCTCGCGAGGTGGAGTCCGATGCCACAAGCTTCCAGATGGTCACGCAGACCGACGAGAAGTGAAGGATCACAACACCGATCCTGAGCCGGATAAGGGTCATGACACAGACTCTGACTCCCATGGTAGTCCATCATGTAAAGTCCTCAGTGCCTCCCAGAAACTTAGCCAGCAGTTGTCTTTGGGTAGGGCTAGGGATTTGGAAGAGGAAGCCTGGGCCTCCGTACCCAAGCTGTTTGAGGGTTTGGTTACTTTTGGGAGGACTGTTTTGATGGAAGTGGCGTGCAGTGAGTCTAGCCTGTTGTCTTCCGAGGTCCAGAAGTTGTGTGGTGATGAGAGTGCAGCTAGTCGGTGTAGTTGGTGGAACAATTGTGATCTCGCTACTGACACTGGAGTGCGCCTTGTCCTGGACCGCATAGACCTAGAGCAACCGGCTCATGTATGGATCAGTCCTCCTTGTGGCCCTTATTCTCCATTACAGAATGTAAATCGTAGATCTGAGGCCCAGAAGGAGGAACTCCAAAAGAAACGGGAAGCCGCCATGAGGATCTATGTTGGGTCCTGTATTATCATTCATGCCTGTATTCAGCGTGGGATCCATGTCACCCTTGAGCTTTCTGAAAGATGTCAAGCCTGGCGACTTCCCATTTTTCATTCTCTTCAAGCCAAGTACTCCATGTTCCAGGGAGTAGCTAAGGGGTGCAGAGTTAATCTACGAGATAAAGCAGGCATATTGATGCAAAAGGGATGGCGCATCCTCACTACCCGTAAGAGACTTTCCGAGTTGCTGGATTTACCACGTAGATGTCCTCGGGGTTTTAAACATGGGAAATGTGAGGGCTCTTCTGCGTCCCTTAGCGAGCTGTACACCAAAGAGTTTGCCCGACGTGCGGCAAAAGGAATCGTCCAAGAACTGGACTACACCTCACTGATCCAGGAGTGTAAGCAACCTCGCAGTCTTCCCCCGCAGTTTGGCTTAGGCTCTTTCTGTACCTGTAGTGAAGTCCCCCTACCCCAGAGACCCCGGCAGTGTAGCATGTGTTTGTTGGAACATGAGGGTCATGAAGAGGAGGTAGTGGAAAAAGACCTCACTAGAGATCCACTAGAAGCAGGGTTTCAGGTCCGTCACCAGAAGCTAGAAGAAATGGAAACCCTAGCAAGCCAACTGAGTAGGGACAAGTCCTTTCAACATGAGCAATGCGAGAGACTTTTACAAGAACTCCAACATGTCAATCAAACCAGTAGGAGACCCATGGTAGGAAACGAGTCCGGCAGTTATCTGGTTTTTGGCGCGTATTCTCATGGGAATCATTACGGAGTAACAAAGCGCACAAGCCAATACCCAGAAACCGTCAGATACCTGCTCTCCTACCTCAACCATTGGAACCGACAACCCATCCAAGCAACCTCCTTAGTCGTCAACTTTAATAGTAGTCTCCCACTTCATCGTGATGTCCACAATTCTGGGGAACACCACAACTACATTATCGGGGTAGGAGATTATGATGGGGGTAAGTTGTGGGTGGAGCAGCCTAAGAATAAGAACCCGTCTCATGAGCCTTTTTCCTCCAACTCGGGTCAAGGAGTGGGTGCCTGTCGTCAGGTTTTACCAGACGGCCAAGAAGCTTTTGGCAGTCTCCAGGACATTCGACGGCACGTAGTGAAGTTTTCCCCCAAGGTTTGGTATGGACCCAGCACTTGGAAAGGTAACCGGATGACTATAAGATCATTTGTTACCCGGGGATATGACATGTTAAGCAGGGAGGATAGTGGGTTTCTTGAGAGATTGGGATTTTTGCTTCCTGTTCGGGAGAGTGCGTGTGCTCTTGAGGATCTTAGACTAGGTCCCCGACACCCCATCGTTGATCCCGAAACCCTTCAGAAGCAGCTCTACAAACTTCACGCGGCAACGGGTCATGGGAGCATCAGCAGTCTAGTACAACTTCTTAAGAAGCGCAATGTCTCCCCAGCAGTCCTGGAAGCTGCAGAAAAGTTCACCTGTTCAGTATGTTTAGAGGAGCAAAATCCAACCCCGTCACTTGGCATCTCTTGAACCTCTTCCCCCTCGCTTTCATACCGTGTCAACTGACATAGGGCATTGGAATCATCCAGAGTCAGGGGAAGCCATTCAATTTATGCTGGTTATCGACGAAGGTAGTCGCTTCCGGGTGGCTAAAGTGCTGAGCAGGGGTTCCAAACAGCAGCCTAATGCAGCGACATGTGTTCAGTATCTAAGGGAGGGCTGGGAGCAATACTTCGGCATGCCACGAACCCTTAGATTAGACCCCGGAGGAGCCTTTCGCAGTCAAAAGATAGTTGATTTCTGTGACCTAGAAGGCATCTATCTAGATAACACTCCAGCAGATGCGCACTGGCAGATTGGGGTATGTGAACAGGCTATAAAAGGTGTCAAAGAAATCATGACCAAGGTGTGTATGAACAATCCCGAAGTAAACCCAGAAGTAGCCCTCACCACAGCGGTCACAACGTTTAACAATCGGGATGATGTTCGGGGATTCTCACCAGTTCAACACATTTTTGGACATAGTCCCGATTCAACAGGGCGGTTCCTGCAAGGGGTTCAGAGTCTGCCTGAAGAGTTTGTGGTGGAGAGTGCCTCAATAGAGCTCGAACAAGCAGCTAGGCTCAGGGCTGAAGCTGAGAAAGCTCACGCAGAATGGGTTTCCGCTCAACGTATCTCAAGGGCACTCAATTCTAAACCCAGACCTCCCTTTAAGTTCAAACCCGGGGATCTTGTCTATTTTTGGAGGTCCCAAGAAGCTGGTCAGAGCCGAAGGAGTCCCGGCTCAAAACAAGGTCGGTTCCTCGGTCCTGCCCGAGTGCTTGCCACTAGACCCGGAGAGACGAACAGGGGCAGCCCCGGCCGAGTGGCAGTGTGTGGTGTGTTCGTGGCCGGAGTTTGTTAAAGTGTAGTCCAGAGCAATTACGGTTTGCGTCCCCTAGAGAAGAATTGCTAGAAACTCTTGCTAAAGAACATGGGCATGAGTCAACGCCATGGACTTACTCCCGGTCGCTAGTGAAATAGGCGGCAGCCAATTCCAGGATCTCTCAGGAGAAGTGCCAACTGAAGCTGAATGGGACAGAGCTCAGAATCCCATGTTGGAGCAGCCACCAGTCAGGTTCCGTTTCAGGGGAAAGCGAGCTTCACCAGAACCTGCGGAGGTACTTGATGAGCCAGACACTGGTGGTGCCGCCAGCTCACGCAGCCGTGCCCTCTTTTCAGACTTGAACAACTCACTTCATGAAGTGATTCCTGGCGAAAAGTGGTATGACAAAGTGCCCGAAACAGCTTGGTTCTCAGAGACTTCCGAGTACTGGCAGGATAAATCTGCAGCCGTCGAAATTGAGATTCCTTTACCAGACTCTATAGGGCCGGCATGGAACAGGCCACGGAGGATCTTGAAGCCTACTTCACTGGCGCTATGAAACGTAGAGCCGTGGAAGTATCCGAAAAGAAGTTATCTCCGGAAGATTTTTCACGTTTTCATTAGAAACTACTTGGCGGCGCAAGCTTTCGAGACCTTGCCGCGTCACCTTCAACCCTCCAAAGACCGGGCGATACATATGCGGTGGCTCTTGACGTGGAAAATGAAAGATGATGGAACGCAGAAGCCAAAGGCGCGATGCGTTATCCTGGGGTACCAGGACGAGGCATACGAGCACCGTGCAACTTCTGCACCAGTGATGACGAAACAAACTCGACAACTTTTTCTTCAACTGGCTGCCAACCAAAAATGGGAGGTGGCCAAGGGCGACATTACTGGCGCCTTTCTTCAAGGCAAGGAGCTCACGGAGACATTGTACTGCGTCCCAACGGACGAAATATGCGCGGCGCTGAAGATACCCAGCGGCTCAGTGACCAGATTGAGACGCGCAGCGTATGGACTGGTACAAGCTCCATTACAATGGTACTTGACCATAGCCGAGTTTCTTGAAGAGATAGGTCTCGAACGTCTTCGGTCGGACCCATGCGCATGGGTCTGGCGACCAGACAAGAATGCCAAACCTCGAGCCATGGTCGTAGGTCATGTCGATGACTTTTTATTTGCAGGTCCAAAAAGTGATGCAGGTTGGCTTGATCTGGTTAAGCGCATCAAAGAACGGTTTGCATGGGGTTCTTGGGAAAAGGATGATTTTGTTCAGTGTGGAGTTCGTATTCAACAGACCAGTGATGGTTTTAGGCTGTCCCAAGAAGCCTACGCAGCGTCTGTTCCAGAGATTCCAGTCTGCAGTAGTCGTAGACGAGACCGAAACCTCGAAACCACCCCATGGGAAAAGACCAAACTTAGGGCAACGTTAGGAGCCATTTCATGGCATGCACAGCAAGTAGCTCCTCATTTCTCCGCAGAGGTTGGTCTTTTGCTATCGGAGGTGAATACCAGTACAGTTAACACCCTCCTTCAGGCTAATCAGCTTGTTTCTGCTGTCAAAGCCCGGAAGCGTCATGAAATGATTGTGCATGGGTTCCCCGAAAGCCTTGAGTTAGGATGTTTTGCTTGGGTTGATGCAGCGAATGAGAATAGACATGATGGTGGTAGCACCCAGGGTATCTTCATTGGTATGGCACCTTTAGGAATGTTACAGGGTGAGTTGAGTGGGGTCACTCCCGTTGTTTGGCATTCTCATAAGATAGATCGTGTCTGTAGATCCCCAGGAGCCGCTGAAACCCAAGCAGCTGTAAACGGCGAGGATAAGATACCAATGGAGTGAGATGTTGTACGGCTTTGAGAGTACCAAAAACCCCGATAGCACAGTGTCCAAGGTAACTGGTTGTGTTATTTCCGACTCTCGCAATGTCTACGACAAACTCCAGAGTGAAGTGTTGACAATCAAAGGGGCAGAGAAAAAGGCTAACATAGAGTTGCTTAGCTTGAAGGAGGCTCAAAAGCGAGCCGGTGTGGTGATCCGTTGGGTGCATTCCGAAGCCCAGCTCGGCAACTCCCTCACAAAGAAGAATGGGGGCAAGGAGTTGGAGTTGTTTTACAGGATGCAGCACACCTGGAGAACCGTGGAGGACGACTTGATGCGCTCAGCACGCAAGAGAAAGGTTGCAGGATTAAGTAGTCTAGAGGGGAGTACTAGATCCGAACCACTGATTCAAGATGTCCTTCCTGGCCAGAATGGGGAATGGGGGACCGGGGGGATGCAAGATGTACAGGTCATCTTGACTGCTCTTTCGTGATGGGACATGACATCGCAGCCGACTGAGATCAAAAGAGGGGCGTTCTGTGTGTCTCCTGTACTTGCTGCGTTCTTCCTAGCCATTCGGACGACACCCAGTTTCCTTCGATCCTTTCATCTTGGGCAATCTACCTGCGACGCCTCAACGGCTCGCAACCCCTATATAATCCCTCTCTACTTAAGGGGGACTATAAGGCCCTAAACCCTAAACCCTAAGGCTACCAGACTGGAAGTGTCTTGGTTTTCTTCATCCTGAAGATAATCAGCTTGGGTCAGCAAACAGACCAACGCTTTGCCACCTCAGCTCAACCGCGAAGAGCGGGTTTAGGGTTTAGGGCAATTAGGAACCCATCCCAAAAGCCTCCCCCCAACCCTAAACCACACACCGTAAACCCTAAACCCTAAACCCTAAATCCCTCAACCCTAAACCCCCCAACCCTAAACCACACACCATAAACTCATCCCAAAGGCCCTCACAATTCGTCAATCTTGCTTGCACCCTCTGGCGGTGCCGTGTGGGAGTTTCTCAAAATTGTCCTGGGTTTAGGGTTTAGGGTTTCTCAAGATTGTCCCTTAGTTATTCCTAAAAAACACACCCCAGAACATCCTTATACTACCCAGATGGAGGTTTCCCAAAATTGGGGGGGGACCTCATTGGGGTACAATATTTTGGGGTCTATATTGGGGTCCCCCTATTTTGGGAAACTACCATATAACCTTCAGGTCCCTTAAAGCCTCCCAATTTTGAGAAACTCCCATGTTCCTTTGGGGGGCAGGCAGCTCAGCCAGAACTCGGGTACTCGCAGGGCTAAGAGTTCAGCACCCGCCCCAGGGGTTAAGGTTGCGTGGTACCTTTAGAGGCCTCGAATTTTGGTTAAGAATAGCTGCCCGTAAGGAAATGAGAATTCATTGGAGAGTGCCACTCAAAGAACCCTAAGCCCTAAACCCTACAACCTAAACCCTAAACCGCGTTTAAGTAAACCCTACAAGTTCCTAAGCTCCACAGGCCTCAGTAGAGGATTTAAATGTGCCTCAGCTTACCAGGACTGTCTAAGCTGTCCCGAAGTATCAGCTGCACAGGGAACGCTAGAAATCCACCAGTCAAAGTAAGGAGTATAATGAGGGATACACACCTCGGCATGGTTTTGCCGGTCTCTGTGATGTAAGCTAATGGAGATGGAGACTTGGAGCGATATACTGATAATCTAGGGAGTTAAGGTTGAAAAATGTTGAAAAATATGCATAAAAAAGCATAGCATCGCCCCAACAAAGTAGGCCTCTACACACAGGAAAAGCCGACCCCGCAGAGCCCCGAAACCATGTGTAGACCTAACCTGAGCAGCGTGTGTATTTTCAGCTGAACCACGTAAAAATAACTTCCGTATACGTAATACTATACCCAAGAGGAGGATATATTCTTGCTCTATTTTGTGTACCATAGGGCCCCAAATAAAACACCACTGACCTCAAACCCACGGCACCTGATCTGTCTCCGGGAGATCTGCCGTAAGCTCTAAGCACACCTGCTTCATGGGCTATGGATCGAGGGTTCGCAGTTTCGTGTGTGTGGGCTGTTAGGGCCAGAAATTTTGGCTTGTATGGACTTTCGGGAAAGCACTCGAATCTTTGATCCCGGGAACTCCTGCGTGGGGATCAATATAAGGATTCAGACTCTTGACAGCCCTCTGACTCCAAATCAAGCAGCTCCAGGGTTCTGGTTTGGGCTTTCGTACCGTGTAGATTTAGTTCCCTGGGGTTCCAAATCGCTCAATGTAGGTAATATTTACAAGCTTTAAGAGCCAATGCTGGTATTATCTGTATACTTGGATCCCCAAGGTTTGATTTGCCTAACCGTCACTTGTATATACCTGCAATTGGTATGCAGGATGTTGGTTTTGAGGTCCAGCAGGGGCTGGCTACTTCTTCTTGTTGTTCCCACGTCGTTGTTTCCTTGTAGATGTGGGACAGACCTGAGAGTCCAAGGACCCAAATAATAGGGTTTTAGGGTCCAAATACCATTAATAGTATAGTATTTGGGTCCTAAAACCCTATTATTTGGGTCCTTGGACCCTCTAGGTAAGGCTTGGCGTCATGTGCTCAGCTCGAAGTGGCACTCCAGGCCGTATGAGTCGAAGCGTCACGCTCCACAGAGCAGGATCCGTAAACCCTAAATCCCCTGATGTGAAGGTTTAGGGTTTAGGGTTGCCAAACAGCCTGTGGCTCCACACGCAGCTCACTGGCTCACTGCAACGAGAAGTGACAGCAACGATTAGAAGTTGGGGATTCAAATTGCAATCACATTCGGAGTACTTTGCACCTAGTTGTGGCTAGCGATAAGTGTACCTTTTAAAAAAAAAAGTCTGGCATTGGGGATCCCTTTTTGGTGGGTCCCCCATGATCAGGATCATGGAAGGGACTACCATCCCCCTACATCCGCTATAGAATCCCAGTGGCTCCAGGTATGACTACTCATACCCCAGAACTCACAAGCAGACCCATCCTCTGCAAACCGCCTCCCAGGCCTCCAGTCCAAAACCCAAAGCACTCAACCCTGTACCCTCAACCCTAAACCCCAAATCCTGAACTCTAAACCCCAAAGCCTGAGCCCTAAACCTTAAACCCCAAACCTTAAGCCCTAAATCCTAAGCCCTAAATCCTACGCCCTGAATCCTAAGCACTAGACCCTAAGCCCTGAACCGTAAACCCTAAAACCCGAAAACCAGAAATCCTAAGCCTTAAACGCCAAACCCTAAGCCCCAAACCCTAAACCCTAAACCCCCGGCTACACCCCCCTAAAACCCAAAGGAATTTCAACCCTAAACCCCAAACTCTAAATCCCTAAAACAATAAATCCCCTAAACCCTAAACCCTAAAACCCTAAAACCCTAAACCCCGTAAACCCTAAGGCCCTCCCCAGGCCTGCAACCTTGGATTCTGATCGCAAAGCAGGCGCAAAGAGTTCCAGGCCGCCCAGCCATCGGCCTGATGAGCAGGCTTAAACGCATCTAGGTTTAGGGTTTAGGGTTTAGGGCTTAGGGTTCTAGGGTTTTAGGGTTTAGGGGCTTTAGGCTTAAAAGATTTTTTTGTGGTTAAACCTAGTAAGATTATATTCCTTGGATAAAGTACTATACCTTAAAAAGGAGGGTATAATCTTACTCTATATTGGGTACCATAGTATCCCCAAATAAAATACTATATACTCAAAAGGGGTTGTATAGGGATGATGGAAAAGAACATGGAAGCTACTAAAGTATATTGGGATTATATGATTTAGGGTTTAGGATTCAGGGCTCAGGGTTTGGGATTTAGGGTTTTAGGGTTTAGGGTTTCGGGTGTAGGGTCTAAGCTTTAGGGTTTTAAAGTTTAGGGGCTTGAGTCTCAAGATTCAGGCTTTACAGTTTAAGGTTTCGAGCATACCGAGGATACAATGTGTGTTTCTAAGCAAGTTGCTTCTCCTCATCATTTGCCAAGCTGTCTACCTGGCGATTTGCTGCCGCTGACTAAGCCTCTAGTAATCAATCTTCCAAAGCGGGGGAGGACAAGTTGTGAATGCGGCATAGGCTGTATAGGCACGACTGCTCTACTGTTGGGATCCAGTCGCCCTTCTTTAGCTAAGCATGAGTGGGAAGTTGGGAGCCTAGGTCTGTTGGAGATTTAACGTCAAGAAATCGTGAGCTTACAGCTATCCGTCTTCCCGGCTGAGGTTCAAAAGCTCTGGCCCTAGAGTCCTCAATTTGGAAGCCCGCGTTGTTCAGGCTTTGCAGTTCAGTCATTAGCCATCAAAGCACAGCATTTTTGAATCAGGGCCAGGGGCTGGGATCCAGGTACAGTAGCTATATTCCGAAACGTCCCTAGCGGCTATTACTCCAACCCTAAACGCTAAACCCTCCGTGCCCCAATTAGGATGAGCGATGCGGGCTCATACTTGTGTTTGGCCTGCTTGGTGTTGGCGGAAGTTTCTCAAAATGATAGGGAACACGCATGTTTGTGCGGGGCCTATAGTCAGGATCCTCTTCTTGTGTCGGGATTAGAGTCAGGGTTCAGGGACTCCAGTGTTTAGGGGTGTTACTTCTCCTGAAGAACATGGGATGTACAGTTGTCCGACATGAAGGCCGAATGGGCTTGTGAGTCCAGGACGCGGCGCCCTTCATGATGTATGCTTCAGGTGGAGATTTGCACTGACCGAACCACTAAGCGCTGCTGAGCACCCTACACCCCTAAACCCTAAACCCCTGACCCCCAAAGCCAAAACCCACCCGGTACTCTGGAGCCACAGGCGAACACTATTTGCACAGTCCGGCGGGCAATCCGCAACTCTCGACACCCCAACGCGTAGCCTGTATTCTTGGTGGTGGTACCCGGACTACAGCTCCTAAGCCCCAAGTCTAACGTATGTTGGGTTTAGGGTTCAGGCTTTAATTTTGTTTTAGGGCAGGGTTCAACAAAAAACAGACAGCTGCTAACTGCAAACAACCTCTACCCTAAGTACCGTAAGTGGGTTCCTTCATCAAAAGAGGGTTTGGGTTTAGAGTATCTTAAAGCCGAATGCCCAAGACTAGCACGCACAAGCCTTGGATCGTAAACTTACCAGTGCTTAAGGGCGAGTCGGAAAGGAATAGTGGCTGCTGCTGCTACTACTGCTGCTCTCCTACTCCTACTCCTACTCCTACCCCTACACCTACACCTCCTGCTGCTGCTGCCGCTACTACTACTACTACTTCTTCTTCTTCTTCTAGTACTACTTCTAGTAGGACTACGACGACGAGAATGACGACGACTACTACTGCTGCTGCAATACGGAATTATGTTAGCCCTGAGGGTCCAAGGACCCAAATAACAGGGTTTTAGGGCCCAAATACCATTAAT